CTGTGATCAGCACGTGCTTCTCCGAGAGCCGCGGCACCGTCTGCCGCTCCCGGTGCCAGCGCCGCAGCAGGAACAGCCCCAGCAGCAAAGCCACCACGTACAGCCACATCCTCGGCAGCGACACCGGCACCGGGATGAGGACTGGGAAGTGACCCGGGAGAGGCTTGTCCCGATCTTGCCGTTGCCCGCTGTTAATAATTAGCGGACTCCGGAGCAACGATCACGGGGATGCCGCTGGGCCTCCCGGCACTACCGGGATGTGGGCTCGGCTCCGCCTCGTCCTATTACGGGCTCGTCCCGCTGCTGCCGCCTGGAGTCCGCCGGGCTGCGGACAGTGGCCTGGATGTGTCCCGGGGCTTCGCTCCCGCCGCTCTTGCCGGGAATAGTTAACGGGAGGGGGGCAGCGCCCGGGGGTTCCCGCACCGCTGCGCTGCTCTCCTGGGAAGCGCCCGGACCCCGGAATATCCCCGCGCCCTCCCGCCCCTGGAGCACTCCGGATCACAAGACTACCCCGAGACCCTCCCAGATCCTGGAACCATCCCGAAACCCGAGACTCCCAGGACCCAAGCACCGCAGGGTCTACCGGACCCCGGGACAACCCAGGACCGCACGTCCAGGGACCCACCCGGACCCCGAGACAATCCCGGACAGCCTCTCCTGGGACCTCCTTGCACCCTGGGCCACCTCCGGACCCCCACGCCCCTGGACCTCTTTGGATCCCGGGACACTCCTGGACACTGGGACATCCCGGGTCGTCGGAGTTCCCGTACCCACCCGCCCTGGGACATTGCAGGACCCCAAAACCACCCCCTAACCTCAGCTCCCCGGCTCCCACGCGCCTCGGGATCCCCTCGGATCCCGGGACATCTCCAGACCTCAGCACCCCGCGACCCTCCTGGATGCGGGGACCTCCCCGGATCCCGAGACCTCTCGGACCTCAGCGTTCTAGGACCTTCCCCGGACCCCACGACCCCAGACCCCGGGACCCCGCGGACCTCGGGGCATCCCCTTCCCCTTCATCCCGGGACCGCTCCGGTGCTTTGCTCTCCTCCCACTCCCCCCGAGCAGCGCCCTCCCCGTTCCCGGTGCCCCCCTCGGTCCGCTCCTGGGACTACAACTCCCGGCAGCCCCCGGGCCCGGCACCGCCGCTTCCCGCCGTCTCCCGCCGCTGCGCTCCCGCCATGGCGCAGTTCGAGCCGGCGGCGCTGCCTGAGCTGCTCCCGGTCTTCTACCGGCGGCTCTTCCCGCACGGCCCCTACGGCCGCTGGCTCAGCTACGGCGGCGGTGAGTGGGGCGGGGGAACCGGTACCGGGCGGGGGGAGCACCGTCGGGGATGCGGCGATACCGGGCGGGGGCTCCGCCAGGGACCGTGATACCGGGGAGGGGGCACCGATATCAGGCGGGGGGCATCGATACGGGGCGGGGAACGCCGTCAGGGATGCGGTACCGGGGGGGGGCACCGATACCGGTCCTGGGGGGATAGCCGGGGATACCATGGGGGGCAGCGATACCGGGCCGGGAGCACCGTCAGGGGCCACGATACTGAAGGAGAGGCACCGGTACTGCATGGGGGAGCCGTCGCTGGTTGCGATACCGGGCGGGGGGCACCGATACCGGGAGAGGGGCATCGATACCGGACAGGAACACCGATACTGGGCGAGGAGCATCAATACGGGGCGGGAACACCGATACCGCACGATAAAGCATGTTGGAGTGCTGGGGTGGATGCCCTGACCGGGACACCGGGAGGAGCAGGGAAAGGGGAGCCTGGGGGTGACTGTAATGAGGGGATTTAGGAGGGCATTGAGTCCTCCCCGATCCCCCCACACTCTCTGACCCTCCCGCGTCCCTGCAGTGGTGAAGAATTACTTCCAGCTGCGGGAATTCTCCTTCACCCTGCGGGATGATGTGTACCTGCGCTTCCAGTCCTTCGGCAGCCCCCAGGAGCTGGAGCGGGAGCTGCAGAAGATCAACCCCTACAAGATCGACATCGGGGCCGTCTATTCCCACCGGGTGAGTCCTGGCCACCGTGACCGGGGCTCCGCAGGGGTCCCTGGCCACGCTGAGCCCATCCCATCCTTTCCCTCCTACAGCCCAACCAGCACAACACGGTGCACCTGGGAGCCTTCCAGCCTCAGGAGAAGGAGCTGGTCTTTGACATTGACATGACGGATTACGATGATGTCCGGACGTGCTGCAGGTTCCCAGGGGGGCTCTGGGCCGGGAGGGGGGTTTGGGGATGTGGGGTGTCCACCTGACCCCCCTCACTCTGCCCCCAGCTCGGCCGATATCTGCTCCAAGTGCTGGACGCTGATGACCATCGCTGTCCGCATCATTGACCGCGCGCTCGTGGGTGAGGGGCTTGGGGACACACGTTGGTCCTGCCTGGGCACATCCAGACCACGCTCGGCCCCACAGCGATGCCCAGACCCCCAAAGAGGGGCTGGGCCAATGCTCTTGCCGAGCTGGTGCCCGGCAGGTTTGTGGCACCGTCAGCTTTAGGTGGTCGGCACAGCCTGTCCCGATGTGGCCCCCAAACCCATCTCTGCCCCCTAAAATCCCATCTCTGCCCCCAAAACCCATCTGTGCCCCCCCAAAATCCCATCTGTGCCCCCCACAGAGGACCTGGGCGTGCGGCATCGCCTGTGGGTGTACTCTGGCAGGAGAGGTGTACACTGCTGGGTGTGTGATGATGCTGTGAGGAAATGGTCCCCAGCACTGCGGGCGGCTGCTGTGGAGTACCTGAGCCTGGTGAAGGTGGGTGCAAAGGGGGGCCAGGAACCCCCTGCCCACCCCTGAACCTGTGGAAGTTGGGTTTGTGGGGGTCTGGGCACCCTGTGACACTGGTGAGGGTGGGTTTATGGGCTTTGGGCACCCCCTGAGCCTGAAGAGAGCTGGTTTAGGGGGTCTGGGCTCCCCCTGA